AGCATGTCTGGCTTTGTTCCTTGGGAGGAGGGGAGGTTAGAGGGAGGCTAAACCTTGGTAATCTCATCAGGGACTTTCAGGATCTATTCTTTCCCAAGAGTTCTAGCTTCCTCTGGCTGGAGGCTCAATTCTCCCAGATCTGCTCAGTTCTTTCCTCCCGTGGACACAACATTAGGGATGGGGGGAGGGGAAAGACTAAGGAGGGGAATTCAGGAAACGGGAGAGAACAGCAGGAAAAGGAGATGGAGGAGAGCGGAAAGGATAGTTCCTGGTCTCTCAATTAGGAATTTGGGCAGGGTAGGTGCAGCCAGAACTCACAGGGCCAGAGCTGGCCTTGGGGGTGGGAACTGCGGGCTCCAAGTCCTCAGGAATTCTTTCACCTTATGGTTTTGGCCTCCATCCCCACCCCCACTGAGGTTTTCAGACTGTCCAGCGCCTGTACTCCAGAGCCTTCGTGACTATAACCCTTCTCTATTGCCCAGGTCCCCATGTCCATCCCAGTCAGCAACTACCCGTCCCCCACCCCCACCCTCACCCGGGCGCCTGAGACACTGATACCTCGGGGGATACAGCCTCCGTCGTTCGCCGGCAGCTCGAACAGGTTCCGAGCGGAGAAGAAACCCAGCGGCTAGAGACCCAGCTCCAGCCAAAGCCAGGAGTCTGAGCCCCGGGCGGGCAGACAGGAGACGAGAGAAGGGACCAGCCATGGCTTGAGGGTCTGGTTACGGAATCCCGGAGTAAGAGCTGGCTCAGGGCAGGAACCGGGAGGGAGGATGCAAACAGGCTGACTGAGAGCCGGAGGTGGGTGCGAGGCTGGAGCCGAAATGGAGGGAGGCTGGAGCGGGAGTGGAAGCCGGTGCCGACCAGGCTGCAGAAGAGGCGCAATGAGCTAGCGGCGGTCGGGCGCAGGAGAGGGAAGCAGAGCTGCAGTCTCCAGGGGTGGGGCTCATGCAGGCCCCGCCTTCCCGCCTGCCACGGCCCTAGGTGTGCGGGGGCAGAGGGCAGGCACCACCCACCAGGTAGATTAGGAGGACTGGAGATTCGCAGCCTTAGGCCGGGGAACGGGCCCACCTGAGATGAGGTCGCCCATATTTCAGCACCAAGTAGAGGACAGCACCCAAGGGGACAGGAGAGACCCGAACACCCTTCCCCTAAGCCTCCCGGTTTAATAGGAAACCCGTTTCGTCGCCCTGTGGGTGTGAAAGCGTGACACTACCCAACCTCTTGTTTTTTCGGCCTGCCTCAGCAACCTCTCCATCTTCCCAGGGGAGGCGGCCTCGGGGAACCGTGGAATAAACACAGATACCAGAGGAAGACAAAGAGAAAGCACACAGGCAGACGCTGAGAAAGACACCAGCTGCCTCAAGGTCACCTTTTCCTTAGAACCAGGAAGAGGACCAAAGCTCCTCCCTGTCACACCTGTGCTCTCCTTATAAGGTTGTGGAAGGATTCCGGAGAGAAATCAGGGAAACAGGAACTCTTACCCCATCTGTGCTGTGTTGCCTGCCCCCACCCTGCCCCCAAGTCTGAAGCCCTGCTCTGTCCTTCCTCCACTTCTCATGATCCCCCACTTTTCCCCCTCCTCTGCCCTCCTCCCCATCTCCTACTTCACCTTTGATCTTTTACTTCTCAGAGTCTTTTCCAGGCTCCGACCAGTTTGCTGCTCACAGGACTCCCTCTGAGTATTCTCGGCAGGCTTGCCTACCTGTTGTTTGTGCTGGGCGTGGGGCTGGAGTTGGGCAAGGAATTATTATGCTTTCTTCTCCTTCTCTCCCTTCTCCCCGCTCTCTGTAGCTCCCAGTTCCTGAGCTGAAGGGGAGTGTAAGGTGACGTGAAGGGTGTGGCGAGATGACGAGGTGTAGGACGGAAACAGGCAGGCACAGGTCCCCAACCACCACATGTGTTTCCTCTCTTGGCTCCCTAATGCTGTTTAATCCAGACTGTAAGGAGGGGTGTCCAAGGGCATGGGGTCACCAAGGAATCTCTGCCTTCCACCTGGTCCCTTCTCCTCCTCCCTCCTCACAAGGTGCATATTCATATTTGAGAGGGCTTTGTTCCCATATCTCCAAGTGTGACTTGGGTATGACTTGACCTTTGTCCTGGCAGAAGGAGAATGAATGCTTGGAGCTGAAATAGAGATGTGGGCTTCAGTATGGAGGGTCAGTTAAGATGGGGTAGGCATGGTGGCATTAGCCCATTCTTTCAGGTATTGATGACAAAATATTGGCCCTCTGTACATGGATGCCGAAACGAGATACAGAGACAGAGTTTTGGAGGAGAAAGAAATAGTAGCTTTATTCTTGGAGGGAACACAGCAGGCTAGCACCTCAAGAACTGTGCCCCCCTCCCTGTGGAATAGGGAGCGGTCTTCTAGTCAGGGCTCATGGTGGGGGGGGGGTAGGTGATAAGGATCAAGGCAGTGACTGGGCTTGCATTCTTCTGATGGGTTGGTGGTGAGGTAAGTAGGAGTCAGCAACATCAACCTTCAGGTTCCAGCTGGTCTGGGGTCTGTGGGCGGCATACCCACCTGGAGGGGGTTTCAGTATCTGCAAGACAGCTCAAAGATATCTTTGTGTGTGTCCGTTGATGGGGAACCAGGACCTTACCCCAAGGCTGCACTAACTGTTTCTCTTGACTGTTTCTCTCTTGTCTTGCATCCTCTCACTTCCCTGATTAACAACTGCTTGAACCTGCCTATTGGAAGTAGGGAAAGGTCATGGAGGCTGAATGAAGGCTATTTCCTGTAATCAAAGACATGGGGGACACAGAAAGTCTTTGTGCCCAGGAGCCCCACAGGGCCCTGCTCAGTATCATTACCTTGGTGTACCCACAAGACAGCAAGATACTTGTTAATCTTAAGGGAGAGGATCTGAGAAAAAGAAATTCCCTTCAAGTTGTCCGCTGGCCTCACTGATGAGACCCCACTCCATCCCTTTACTCTCATTTCATTCATTCCTCTCAGGCTTCCCTAGTGCTCCTTTTCCTTTCTTCCTCATTTGTGGGTAGCCTTAGTAGCCAATTACCTCTCTTCCAGGTCCATCAGTTCCTTCTTCTCCTGGTAAGACAGAAATAATCAGAGAATAGATGGAGTTCTGCAGTTGTGTTACCTGAAAACTGGGTTCACCTTTTGGTGGGTGTCAAGCCAATAAACCCAACCAAGCCAAAGATCAGGAGAAGGAAGGATTTATTATTACTTGCCACAAGTAAGGAGAACACCAGGGATCTCTCCCAAAGCAGCGTCTCCCCGAACAGCAAAATCTGGGAAGTTTTCAGCTAAGGATACATGCATATTCATGAAGGGGTGAAACCGAGCAGGACCCTATGGGGCTCAAAGATGAATTATTATGTATATCCTTTAAGAAATCAGGGCCCTGCCCCAAGACTGCACTGTTGTTTCTTGACTGCTCCTCCCTTGTTTCTGCATTCCCTCCCTTAAGATCATTAATTACTGAGACCTGTTCAAAGGCAAGCATTGTGGCCATGCTTATATCACAAAATGGCTTAGGCCAAAATGGGTTCTCTTATATCAAGAAAGCCATTCCTGGTTCTCTTTCTCCAGTGACCCCCTAACCTATCTGCTTACACTAGGGACAAAATGGAGCAGGACGCTGTGGGTCCCTCCCAGGTACAAATCCCTTCTGTGTCCCCTGTTTCTTGTTTGTAAGAAATAGGCTTCATTCAGCCTCCTTGACCCTTCCAGAGTTTCAAGGGCAGATTCAAACAGTTGCTAATCAGGGAAGGGAAGGGATACAGAAACACAGGAGGGACAATCAAAAAACTGTAGTGCAGCAATTAAAGCAGGATCTTGGTTCCTCCCAGAGGAATATTCATAACAATATCCTTGAGTTCTTCTGCAGGAACTAACCCCACCTCCCACATGGAAGATGGTAACTTCAGGCTGAATAACAGAGTTCTGGAGCACTGCCCTGTTACCTCACCACTAACCAATCAGAAGAAAGTCACATACTTGCAGCCCTCACCCCAAATTTTGCCTATAAAAACTTTTTCCCCAAAACCATCAGGGAGTTAATGGGGTTTTTGAGAACGAGCCACCTGTTCTCCTTGCTCGACCCTGCAATAAACCTTTCTCTGCTCCAAACTCTGGCCTTTCTGTTTGTTTGGCCTCACTGTGCTTTGGGCACACAAACTTGCGTTGGGTAACAGAACTTGGAATAGTCTTGACCAGGGAAACCTGAGTGAGGATGCAAAGATAATAACAATACAAACATACACAAAATGCTTTCATATAATCAGTACCCTATGGGTTAGGGTTTTCTAGTCCCACTCTCTCACAGGTGAGAAAAGAGGGGCTGAGGGAAGTTCAATGACTTGTCCAAGGCTGCACAGCTATTAAAGGCAAGAGGGCAAGCAGAGTGTGGAGATAGGAATCCACTTGTTCAGCCTTCCAAGTCCATCCATCGTCTTGTCTCCTCCATAAGTAAGTCTCTTTTCCTTCCCTTAACTTTCTGATTTGTTTCTGTCTCTGTTTTTGTCTCTAGCCTCCCTTTCACTCCTCTAGTCCATTAACATTTGCAACATACATTTATTGGATCTCTACGTCTATCATATCCCGTTTTATTTTACAAAACGAACAGAAGACTTGGTTTTGTCCTCATGGAGGTGCAATGGCACAGACTCTGCCTCTTCCTCTACATCTCGCTTCCCCCCACTTCGTCTCACTGGAAATTCTCTGTCTAGACCAAGCATCTGGACTGTGGCGACGCAGTTAGAAATCAGAAAAAGAACAACAGGTTGCACTTCCTCCTCAGAACCACTAGAGGCCACCATCCTCCGCGCAGAAGCGCCGGCCAACGCAGCCTGACTCTGCTGCCGGTGCGCGCCCTCCGCTGATTGGTGGCGCCGAAGAGAAGTCGTGCTTTGATTGGGCCGCTGTCAGGTGTCGCTGCCGGCAGGTTCGGGTGCGCGAGCGCAGGGAGGCGGGTGAGTGAGGGCCGGGGGCGGTGGGGGAGTGGCTGGGGGCTGGGGCGGTATCTGAGGGGGTGGACTGAGTAGAGTGGGCTCCTTCGGTGCCGAGGGCCCTGGTTAGGAGCGGCTGGGGGCAGCTCTAGAAAGAGACCCAGCGGAGAGGCCTCAATGTTAGCGAAGGGAGAGTGAGGCGGGGAAGGCGGGGGCGGGCAAAAGGCTAGAGGAGTCGGGATGGGAGGTGGTTTTCGTGACCCGGAGCTGAGTGAGGAGAGCGCAGAGGAGGGGGTCAGCGAGAGAAGAGATGGGCGTGTGAAGGTCTGCGTGAGGAAGAGGGGGTCCTGCTGAGCCAGGGGAGTCTGCCGGGGAGAGGGTCAGGGCGGGCAGGTCTGTGTGAGGAGGCGTGGGAGTGGAGTCAGACCGGAGGCTCGGCTGGAGGAAGGGGTTGTTGCAGAGAGGAGAGAGAAGGTGAGCCTGGAGGGAAGGCAGGTTGGGAAGGAGTGGCTCTCAGACGGTCTGTGCGGGGGAGCATTGAGGGTTCCATATAAATTTGTTACCAAGTGTGGTGACTCATCTGAGGGTTTGAAAGACTGTTTAAGGCTGGGGAGTCAATGAGCGACAGGATTAGTTGTATTGTTGATTGGATCGGTTGATTAGTGATGTAGGAGGGGGCAGTAGTTAGGGGAGTCGATGAAGAGTCCTTTTAGTAAGTTGGGGAAAGAAGGCAGTATGAGTGAGTTGATACCGAGAACAAGGGCATCAGCACAGTTCATCAGTGGCAGAATAAGGGTATGTATGAAGCATTAAAAACTGGATCAAGAAGGAGAGAAGGGGTCCACTGTTGAAGGAGATAGTGTTTGTGGCCTGAGGAGTTTTAACTGTGTTGGAAGTATTCCCGCCTGACCCTGTACTGACCTTTCTCTTTCATCACTGATGGAGCCCTCCATCAAGTGCAGAAGTGCATGGTGGTTAAAGAAATTAGAGGATTAGGAAAGCAGCCCTAAATTCTAAGGGATAAAGAAGTTACACAGTTTACCCTCCCTTCAGTCCCTTCTCTAGATCTGATTTAACATAGATGTTCCTGAGAAGATTGCCCACCTGCCCCTCCCTCTCTCCTTACCTATTATACTATCTCCTGCTTCCTCCCCTCCCCTCGCTCCCTTCCACACTGATTCAGGCCCCAGTAAGACTGCCCTTTAGCCTACTGTAGAGTCTGAAGTTTAGAGTCTGAAGTTTTCTTTTGCAACAAAGTATTAGGGGAGACGGGGAAGGGGAGAAGAGCACAGAAAACAGGGCAATGGCTCTTGGAACACCACATTAAATCCCAGCTTCTCGCAGAGGTACATCTAAATAAATCCTGGCTTATTTCATAGCTATTTCTGTCAGACTTCTATTTCTGCTTTGTTAACTATGAATTTAGACCTTTCATCTCTCTTCAGCTCCATATTTGTGAACAGATTCTCCTTTGCCATTCAATTATCATCTCCTGTTATAGAGTTATAATAGAATTTCAAGAATGTGGCTGTGTACATTCAGTAGAAAACCAGGAAAGACCTAGTGGAAGAAAGTGTGGAGGGTTAGGAATCTTAGAGAAAGCTCCTGCTTCAGAGAAAGGATAAAGCGTGCAACAAAATTCTGCTTGCTTAAACTATACAGGGACCTTGGGAATGTCACAAGTCATGGAAATTGGGTCAGGTCACGAAAAAGGATTTCAAAGAAACAGGCTATAATCAGGAGGAGTGTGTATGTATAAGACCTGCAGTGTACAACTGAAAACGTTAAGCCTAAGGAGAATGTTGTGCCCTCACGGTGGTTGAGCAACAGAGAAAAGCAAATGGTGAAGACTAGAAAGGTCAAGATCTATATAAAGATTAGCTATAACTTTCTAATCAAAGCTGCAAACTCACTTGTAATGGAAGGGTTTAAAATAAAAATACGGAAAGTAAATATTGAAGACTAAAAACCTATAAGACTAAATTACTCCATTTACTTCAGGACTTTGTGGCTTTCATTAGAGCCATTGGTCAGTATTTCTGAGAACTTTTGCAGAATGTAGAAAATTGCAGATGTGACTCAATTTCATTTTTGGAAAAAAATAAGATACCCGTATCCCCACAATTTAGTATTAACAGATGTTAACCGTTTGTATATTTGCTTCAGAGTTTTCTTAATTGAAATAAACATTATAGATAAGGTTGTGAGGTTCCATTTGAATCCTCAGTTCTGTTTTCCCCTCTGCTCAGAGGTAACCACTATCATGAATTTGATGTCTTTCTTTCCTGTCTGTTTTTATACTTCTAATTATGTATACAGCCATAAACATATGTAGTATTTTTTATTTGTACAAGTGGAATTGTCCTGCATGTATATTTCTGCAGTTTGCATTTGGAAGCTGTCCATGTTATATATAGCTTTGATTCATTTTTTAAAAATGGAAATATAGTTAATTTACAATGTGTTAGTTTCAGGTGTATAGCAAAATGATTCATATATATATATGTATATATACATATATATATATATACAAGGTATTGAGTATATTTCCCTGTGCTATACAGTTGGTCCTTGTTGTTTACCGATTTTATATATAGTAGTATGTATATGTTAATCCCAAGCTCCTAATTTATCCCCCTGATTCATTTTTAATAATTGCTGTTAGTCAGCCATTTGTAAACACAACATTATATTTATCCATTCTTCTACTTGTGACATTTGAGTTGTTCTCGGTTTTTGCCATTACCAGCAGTAAGGTTATGAACATCCTTGCAAATGTCTTTTTATGTGGGAGAGTTTCTCTACAGCGGAGTTTCTCAACCTTGGCACCACTCACATTTTGGACTGGACAATTCTGTGCTGTGGGGGTATATCCTATGCATTTTAGAATGTTGAGCAGCATCCTTGGCCTCTACTCACTGGATGCCAATAGCATCTCCCCAGTTGTGACAACCAAAAGTGTCTCCTGACAAATGTCCTTTGCACAGTATAATCACAGTTGGTTAAGAACCACTGCTGCAGGTGTATGTATGCAGAAGTGGAACTGCCAGGTTGTTCTGACTCAATTTTAAGTCTTAAGATATTCTCACTGATAATGGCTCTAGGCAGGATTTTTTTTCCATTGTAGCTTCTGGTATGAAGGACCTTGGGCTAGACCAGCCTTGTGTCTGTTGTACCCTGAGATGGTAGAGAGAAAATTGAAATTTCAGTTTGAGAATGGGTTGGAGCCTGTTGTATGGATGCCTGTATCCTCAACTTCCCAACTAGCACTAGACCTCTTTCCTTGAACAGATTTTCTGGAACTGAGCATCTCTCTTTTAAGGTAAAGCAGGTGAAGGAGAGATGGGGCATAGGGGATTTTAATGTTCTGATTTAATGTTTAGAACATAGGGTGCCCTCAGTCAATGCTTTTTTGAGTTAATCCTTGGTAGGAATGAAGATAGGGGTTAAGAGCAGAGGCAAATGAACTCTCTTATTCCTCTGCTCTTGAATTAAATCACTGAGTTCAACACTACTGTGGGGAAGTGGAGAAGGGCCAGGAACATTTTGGAATGAATCCAAAGTTGAAATGTCACTCTAACCTTCTCTTCTGGTAGGAATCAACAGTAGCCTTCCATGAGGAACTGCCTTTCCCATTTGCTGCTGGAGTTAACGGTTTTTCCTGCTGGCAGAATCAGGGACATGCCAGCACTGTAAGGGTTAATCTACTGATCCTCTTACCAGTCTCATGGTTGGGGGTGGGGTGAGCAGGGAGGAAAAGGGAGACCTCGATTTTCTCTTAGGGATCTTTAGTCATCTCAAGTCATATCCCACATGCCTCCTTTCCTGTTGATCCTTCTCACCATAGCTTTGTTTCCTGTTTCCCCTAGTCCCCTTGTAGTTCCCTCTTATTTTCTCATTCCCCATCCCCCATCCCCATGCACTGCCCTGGGGCTTGCATTCTGAACTAACAGGGATACATACCCTCCACTGCAGAGCGGGATGAGTGGGTGCTCCGGCGGGGATGTGGTCATTGCCGGCCAGTGAGGGCGAGAGCGCCACAGCCCACTTCTTCCTTGGAGCTGGAGATGAGGGGCTGGGCACCCGTGGAATAGGCATGAGGACAGAAGAGAGTGACAGCGAGCTCCTTGAGGATGAGGAGGATGAAGTGGTAAGACCAGGGAAAACGATGTAACTTGGTTCTGGGACCCCTGTCATAGTTGAGATTCCAGAGGATGGAGACACCTCTCCCCATTCTTCGCAAATGCATAGACTCCCTGTCATAAACAGGCCCTATTCTGATTAAGGGGAAGGGCAGTGGAGATTGGTTAGATTGCCTCTCTTTGAAGCCCCTACCCTTATGCCCTCCTCCTGTTGTCTCATTATTATTGGTTCTCCTACTCTTCTGCCCGAGTACACATTTCCTACTGTGGCAGTAGGAATACCTGCAGGTACCCCAATCTAGGCCTAAGTTAGGAGATAACCTTAACCCCATAGGTCCAAAGTCCTGGCAAGAAACTCTGTGCCCTAAGGAGATGAAACCGTGTGTTCCCTGATAGGGATGGTTTAGGTGGGAAGTACCTGACAGCACTTCCTCTCTGTAGCCTCCTGAACCTCAGATCATTGTTGGCATCTGTGCCATGACCAAGAAATCCAAGTCCAAGCCAATGACCCAAATCCTAGAGCGACTCTGCAGATTTGACTACCTGACTGTTATCATCCTGGGAGAAGATGTGATCCTTAATGAACCTGTGGAAAACTGGCCATCCTGCCACTGCCTCATCTCTTTCCACTCCAAAGGTTGGTGTGTGTGAAGGAAAATGAGAAGGAATGGTGTTGGGAATGCTGGACTGGGAAATGAGGCTCTTACTGTCAAATAGTAAAGAGGCCATCAGCTCTTCCCAACACACTAGGGAACAGTGCAAAGGGGTTTGTTCTCCCTACATCTTGGAGGACTTGCCGGTGGTAGTTTAAAGCCCATATTTGAACCTCAGGACAGCTCTAAGATTCTTAGGTCTCTGACAGAATTGGTCTTTGGAAGGACCCTAAAAATAATTTCTGTTTTACTTTTTTCTGATGGATATTCTAGACTTGGGAAGTTGGGCAGGAGGATGAGTGCTGGGTTGGATGGGTAGTGGAGCTCAGTGGCAACTAATAGCTTTAATATGTTTATTTCTCTTGCTGTTTTCTCACTGTCTCTTTCACTTTCTTCCTTTGGTCTATTTCCTTTCTCCATCCCAGGCTTTCCTCTGGACAAAGCTGTTGCTTACTCCAAGCTTCGAAACCCTTTTCTTATCAATGACCTGGCTATGCAGTATTACATCCAGGATAGGTATAGCTTTCTGTTGACTGGTGGGATGGGTGGCCCTGAGATCATGCCTGTTTAGAGAACCCACTCTGGGAGGGGCAGAGTCAAAGAAACATGCTTGATTTTTGTACCATACCCTGTTGAGTTCTGTACACGGGTGTCTCCCAATTCCTGAATGAATGAAATCCCTAGCCTCTCCCCTGGTCACCATCCCCCGCCTCTCCCAGCTAATTTATTCGGGGGTGACAGGAGGGAGGTGTACCGGATCCTGCAGGAGGAGGGTATTGATCTGCCTCGATATGCTGTGCTCAACCGTGACCCTGCCCGGCCTGAGGGTGAGTACCTGGCCTTGTCCAGTCCTGCCCTGCTTTCTACGACTTAGCCCAGTTCTCCTTCCTCTAGACGTCTCCTATGTACCACCCGGCTCAGTGAGGCTTTGGTTACTGGATTATGGGTAGAGCTAGAGCCATGGGTCTTTGGACAGAACCTTGGACCTCTTATATAGATATTAATTACCATATCTATTATTAAGATATGGTCATAGCAATTTGAGGGTTATGGAGATTACAACTCAGAGAAGTGGGAGTTGGAAGTATTCTTAGGCCCTAGGAATGACCACACGCCTACCTTTCAGAGTGCAACCTGATTGAGGGTGAAGATCAGGTGGAGGTAAATGGAGCCGTCTTTCCCAAGCCCTTTGTGGAGAAGCCAGTGAGTGCAGAGGACCACAATGTTTACATCTACTACCCCAGCTCAGCCGGAGGAGGAAGCCAGCGCCTCTTCCGTAAGGTATGGGAGACATTTGGGCATTTGAGGAGGCAGAGAAGTAGAAGGGCGAGAATGAGGTTGTGGGGAGGGAAGCTGGAGGATTTGGGGACAAGTTAGAGGCAACTTTTTTTTTTCCTTCCTTTTTCTCCTGAAGATTGGCAGCCGGAGCAGCGTTTACTCTCCTGAGAGCAGCGTCCGGAAGACAGGGTCATACATCTATGAGGAGTTTATGCCAACAGATGGCACAGATGTCAAGGTTATGGTGGATACAGGGATTTAAGAGGTTATAAATATCTGGGTGGGGTGGGGTGCTTGGGAAGCAAGTGGAAGTGTATGGAAGTGGTCGTAGAAAATAAAGTATGAATGCGATGGGCTTTCATATGCAGGTGAAGGTAAGAAGTGGGGGAAGTAGGTATTTACATTGTCACTATCAGAGCAAGGGCAAGAGTGACATGGAAAATGGAATACTGTTGGTAAGTTATTTCTTAGTAAGGACTAGGCAATAGTTTTGGAGTCCTGTGGAGAAACCTTCATAATGATACTAAAGTAGAGCTCAGTAAGAAAAATGTCAGTCTCCTTGTTCATAAAACTTGGGGATTTGTTGGTTTTGTTTTTGTTTACTGTGAAACTGGTCTACAGACATAGTGCTCATATTGTCTTCTCATATGCAGGGTGAGCTGTGGGCATACTCAGTGATGCTATGTACCTGCAGGTGTATACAGTGGGGCCAGACTATGCCCATGCTGAAGCCAGAAAATCTCCAGCTTTGGATGGGAAGGTCGAAAGAGACAGTGAGGGGAAAGAAATTCGATATCCAGTCATGCTGACTGCCATGGAAAAGCTGGTGGCCAGGAAAGTCTGCGTAGCTTTTAAGGTGGAGGAAGTCCCCTTGGCGGCGAAGGGGAGGGTGTGTGTGCTGGGGGCGGAGGGTGGGAGGGATGTGGGAGAGGGGCTGTGGAATGAGGGGGGTGCTGAGAAGGAAGAGTGGCTCTCTTGTTCTCATCTTGCTTTTATCGCCTGCAGCAAACGGTCTGTGGTTTTGACCTCCTTCGTGCCAATGGTCACTCCTTTGTGTGTGATGTCAACGGCTTCAGTTTCGTCAAGAATTCGATGAAATACTACGATGACTGTGCCAAGATTCTGGGGTAAGGGGCACAGTGGTCTGAGCTGGGGAGAATGGGCTTAAAGAAGAGAATTGGAAAGTTTTTACTGTATAGGCATGCCTCGTTTTATTGAGCTTCGCGGATACTGCGTTTTTTTTACATATTGAAGGTTTGTGGCAACCTTGTGTCAAGCAAGTCTGTTGGCACCATTTTTCCAACAGCATTTGCTTACTTCGTGTCTCTGTGTGACATTTTGGTAATTCTCACAATATTTCAAACTTTTTCACTATCATATTTGTCATAGTGATCTGTGATCAGTGATTTTTGATGTTACTATTGCAAAAAGATTACAACTTGCTGAAGGCTCAGATGATGGTTAGCATTTTTTTTTAGTAAATTTATTTATTTATTTTTGGGTGTGTTGGGTCTTCGTTGCTGTGCGCAGGCTTTCTCTAGTTGCGGCGAGCAGGGGCTACTCTTCGTTGTGGTGTACAGGCTTCTCACTGTGGTGGCTTCTCTTGCTTCAGAGCACGGTCTCTAGGCGTGCGGGATTCAGTAGCTGTGGCACACAGGCTCAGTCGTTGTGGCTCACAGGCTCTAGAGCACAGGCTCAGTAGTTGTGGCGCATGGGCTTAGTTGCTCCACAACACGTGGGATCTTCCCAGGCCAGGGATCGAACCTGTGTCCCCTGCATTGGCAGGTGGATTCTTAACCACTGTGCCACCAGGGAATCCCGATGGTTAGCATTTTTTAGCAATAAAGTCTTTTTAAATTAAGATATGTACATTTTTTTAGACCTAATGCTATTGTACACTTAATATACTACAGTATACTGTAGACATAACTTTCATATGCACTGCAAAACTAAAAAAACTCATGTGACTCACTGTATTGCAATATTCACTTCATTGTGGTGGTCTGGAACTGAACTCACAATATCTCCGAGGTATGCCTGTATTTTAAATATCGTAAAAATGGTTTAAAAGTGAAAAAGGTGAGAATGCCTTGGCGGTCCAGTGGTTGGGACTCCGAGCTTCCCCTGCAGGGGGCACGGGTTCAATCCTTGGTCAGGGAACTAAGATCCTACAAGCCATACAGTGCAGCCAAAAAATAAAAAAGAATATAGGGCTTCCCTGGTGGAGCAGTGGTTAAGAATACACCTGCCAGTACAGGGGACACGGGTTTGATCCCTGATCTGGAAGATCCCACATGACATGGAGCAACTAAGCCTGAGCGCCACAACTACTGAGCCTGCGCTCTAGAGCCCACGAGCCACAACTACTGAAGCCTCAGTGCCTAGAGCCCATGCTCTACAACAAGAGAAGCCACTGCAATGAAAACCCACGTACTGCAAGGAAGAGTAGCCCCCACTCACCGCAGCTAGAGTAAGCCGCGTACAACAACGAAGACCCAACGCAGCCAAAAATAAAATTAATTAATTAAAAAAAAAAGAATATAGTTAAAGCCCCTACATACCCCTTACTAAGTATATCCCCTTCCCTCCCACCGCCCAGAGGTAACCAGTCCTTTATTTGGTCATTCCCATTTATATATTCATATTTTTATTACATATATGGGGTGGCTTTTGCATGTTTTTAGATTTTATATTAATGTATTTTTCAGCTACTTGTTAGTTTTTGTGAGCTTCATTCATATATGTAGTTCTGGTTCATTCATTTTCACAGGGCTTCTTTGCATTTCTCCTTCTAGGAACACCATAATGCGGGAGCTTGCCCCGCAGTTCCAGATCCCATGGTCCATCCCCACGGAAGCTGAGGACATTCCCATTGTCCCTACCACATCTGGCACTATGTGAGCAAAAGTAAAAGTTAAAAATCGGGAGTAACCTACTTAAGGCATCTGTGTCAGACCAGTGGTTACTTCCTGACCCTGTGCCATCTGACTGGTGGAGCCTACCTTTATTCCTAATCTCAGATAGTTTTTCCTCTGTTCTTTGACCCGTTGGGTAGGATGAAATGGGAGGCAGTGTGGGGTGGGACTGGGGAGAGGCTCTAACAACATTCCCTATCTTAGGATGGAACTTCGTTGCGTCATTGCAATTATCCGTCACGGGGATCGTACCCCCAAGCAGAAGATGAAGATGGAGGTGACACACCCAAGGTGGGCAGAGTATCCTAATCCAGACAAGTAGGTGTTTGTGAAGGAAATGGGGAGGGGTACCTCCCAGAGGCTCTTGTCTGTCTCAGCCCATACTGAAGCTTCTCCTTATTTCTTCAGGTTTTTTAGTCTATTTGAAAAACATGGTGGCTACAAGACAGGGAAATTAAAACTGAAGCGGCCCGAGCAGCTACAGGTAAGGTGATGAATCTGCCTGGGAGGAGCAGTGCTACAGAAAGATAGAGGGTATGGGATTGGGGGCCTCAGTGAGAGACCAGGATGAAAGCCTAACCAGCCAGGACTTGGCCTCCTGCACAGATACCCTGTTGTTTCCTCCAGGAGGTGCTGGACATCACAAGGCTGCTATTGGCTGAACTGGAAAAAGAACCAGGTGGTGAGATTGAGGAGAAGACTGGGAAACTGGAGCAGCTGAAATCTGTGCTGGAGATGTGAGAAAGGGAATAGGAAAGGGGGGCCACTAGCAGTGAGAATTGGGTGCTGGAGTAGAAAGTAAACTGTGAATTTATCCTGCAGGTATGGTCACTTCTCAGGCATCAACCGGAAGGTGCAGTTGACTTACTACCCTCATGGAGTAAAAGCTTCTAATGAGGGGCAAGGTAAGATGTAATACCCCCTTCCCATTACCACTCACATCTCTTATTCTTGAACCCTTAGATGACCTCTATCCCAAATTACCTTTCCGGGCTCCTCAGAAGACCTAACATTTAGATGTCCCCACTATTTTCCTTAGATCTAGACCTGTTCACTCCCTTATTCCCGCAGATCCACAGGGGGAGGCTCTGGCCCCATCCCTATTGCTGGTACTGAAGTGGGGTGGAGAACTGACCCCTGCTGGCCGTGTTCAGGCTGAGGAGCTGGGGCGAGCTTTCCGCTGCATGTACCCTGGAGGACAGGGTGAGTGTTTTGTAAATACCTGGCAGGGCTGAGATAAGATGATTAGAGAATAAGTTGGGGAAACAAGGGACAGAGACAATAGGGAAGTTAAAGGGGAAATGAGCATTCTTGGGTATTTACAGCCATCCATTCCTGGTTTTCCCCTTTGCTCCCAGGTGACTATGCTGGCTTCCCCGGGTGTGGGCTGCTTCGCCTCCATAGCACCTTCCGCCATGATCTCAAGATTTATGCCTCTGATGAGGGCCGTGTCCAGATGACTGCTGCAGCCTTTGCCAAGGTGCACACTACAGTTCACCCACAGTTCCAGCTTCCATTAGGTAGAGAAGCAGAGTTTGGAGAACTAGTTGGAAATTTCAGAGTGTTTGTGTGCCAACTCAGAGAAGTTTCTGCTTGTGTCTGACTGCATTCTTTTTTTTTTAAATTGGGGTATAGTTGCTTTACAATGTTGTGTTAGTTTCTCCTGTACAGCAAAGTGAATCAGCTGTATGTACTGACTGCATTCTATACTACTGAGAATAATTAGTGGGGTGGGCCCCTTGACCTATACCCCAACTCCCAAGCCAGCTCTCATTTGATCTCTGGGACCATCGAGGCCTAGGGGCACTAGACTGGAAGGAAAACTAATAGATTTTGTGCTTCCCCTCTAGGGCCTTCTAGCTCTAGAAGGGGAGCTGACACCCATTTTGGTACAAATGGTGAAGAGTGCCAACATGAACGGGCTCTTGGACAGTGATGGCGATTCCCTGAGCAGCTGTCAGCACCGGGTGAAGGCTCGGCTGCACCACATTTTGCAGCAGGATGCACCCTTTGCCCCTGAGGATTATGATCAGGTCAGGCTCTCCTAGACTTTGTGCCCAACACAGCCCAATCCCCAAATCCTAGAATTCTAAATAATAGTGATCAGTAATGGTACTTACTGTGTGCCAGGCACTGTTTTATGTGCTCTCCATGTATTGTGTCATTTAATCCTTACCCTTTGAGATAAGTATGGGTCCACAATCTGTCATCCACAGTTTTGGAAATGAAAAAGATTTTTATAACTTTGCCACCAAGATTCGTTTGACAGCAAAACCCGATATGGTAAGACTCTTTCTAATCCCCATTTATCCCATCTAGTGTAAATAGTCATACATTTTGCTACAGAAATAGAAAAGTGTTTGGTTACGTCCTAGGCCCTGCTGGAGGTATTATCTAACATGTGGCATATGCACCGTATTAACTTCTTAAAGTCCAAGAATTCTCAATTCCAAAACACAGCTGAACCCAAGGATTTTGAATGGAAGGATGTTTCAGTTTATCTGTTGCTGTATAAAAAACTACCCCAAAACTCAGTAACTTAAGACAAAAACCATTTTATCACCTTACAGCTCTAGGCTCAACTAGTCTTGCTTAGGGTCTTCCCTAAAATTGCCCAGCTGCTGTCCAGATGTTGGGGCTGGAACCGTCTGGAGGCTCAACTGGGATGCTAGGATGGCTGGGCTCTCTCCCTCCTCGTGATGTCCCTGTCCCTGTAGTCTCAGAGCCTCTCCTCTCCATGTGTTTTTCCCATGTGGTTTTTCTAGCAGACCAGGGATCAAATCCATGCCCCCGGCAGTGGAGGCATGAAGTCCTAACCACTGGACCATTAGGGAATTCCCCAGACGGATTTCTTAAATAGTAGCTTAGGACTCCCCCATACCAGAAACTTTCAAGCTTTTTTAAAGTGTAGGCCCAGAATTAGCACAGTATAACTTTATTATTTTTTGTTGGTTAAACAGTCACAGGGCCAGCCCAGATTCAAGGGAAGGGGAATGTGACAAAGAATTAATGGCCATCTTTAATCCACTGTAAGAACTGTGGACCGGTACTACTTTTCCCCCCCTTTACAGATGAGGAAGCCTAGGCTCAGAAGAATTTAAGCAGCCTTTCCAAGGTCACCCAAGGAATCTAACTAGAGAGCCCAGGCTGTTAGCCTCACAGTATTAGTCACAGTGGATGCCACTACCCAAGCCATTCTTTTTCCTTTTTCCTATGTATCCATGCCATGATTGACTGGGGATCATGTGCCAGACAATGATTTTCTACCATCCTCCTACTCACAGCTCCTCATTTCATAACTGCTGTGTAACCATTTTTGATAGATTCTTAAATAAGCAAAGTAGCTGAGCACATTGACTAGAGAATGGCATTTTCTGTGTTCTTCTCTGAGCAGGCCTTGATAAAGGGGCAGGACCTTGCTGCCTTATTTTCCAATCCATTGCTCAATGTCAAATCCAAAAAAGCTAAGGTATCTTTCCTTTTTCCTTGCTTCCTTTTGCCAGCAAGAATGGAACTTGTGAGGACCGAGGTAGAATGAGTACATTCAACCTGCAATCTCCTTTCCCCCTCCCCATCTTCATTGACTGTGACCATCCTAAATGCTTGAGTTGGAACTTAGTTCTGAGACAGCACCTCTACTCCAGATTCAAGCTAGCATCTTGTTTAGAGGAGTAAGATAGTTATGTCTATTACCCACTCATGAAAACATTCTGTGGGGATTTTGGTTTAATCTGTATTCCTCAGCATTTTCTGTGCTTATTTTAGAAACCCCAAGAAAAGAACCTAGATCTATTTTATTTCCTCTGGCTCCAAGACTTTTAAGATGACCCATTCTTAGATGACTATGTGCTAGAGCAGTCCCCTCATCTGAACTGCTAGTGTTCCCAGTAGCCTAAGAATGCTCGTTGGGGACTTCCCTGGTGGTGCAGTGGTTGAGAGTCCGCCTGCCAATGCAGGGGACACGGGTTCGTGCCCCGGTCCAGGAGGATCCCACATGCCATGGAGCGGCTGGGCCCATGAGCCATGGCCGCTGAGCCTGCGCGTCCGGAGCCTGTGCTCCGCAATGGGAGAGGCCACAACAGTGAGAGGCCCGCGTAGCGCAAAAAAAAAAAAAAGAATGCCTCGTTGGGGTGAGCCAACAGACAGAGCTTATTTGCAGGCAGTCTCTCTGTAATAAGCTCACAGCAATCTAGGCAACTGGCACTGAACCTGTCTTGCTTTTCATCTTTCTATTCTCCACAGCTGGCTCCCACTGGAAGCACTTCCCTACTCAACTCCATGGCTATAATCCAGAATCCTGTGAAGGTCTGTGATCAGGTATTTGCCCTGATTGAAAACCTCACTCACCAGATCCAGAAACGGATGCAGGACCCCAAGTCTGTAGGTGGGTTTGAATACTACTATCTTCCTTTCAAGATTTTGGGTACGGATGGGTTCCTCAGGCAATCCTGTGTCCTCTCCTAAGTGTCTGAGACACGTCATCCTCATCTCTCTGGTTCTGCTTCAGATTTGCTAGGGTCTTTTGTTAGAGGTGAAGCCTTTGGCTCTGTCTGTCTTCCTTCCAGACCTGCAGCTTTACCACAGCGAGACACTAGAGCTAATGCTACAGCGTTGGAGCAAGCTGGAGCGTGACTTTCGACAGAAGAGTGGGCGCTATGATATCAGTAAGATCCCTGACATCTATGACTGTGTCAAGTATGATGTGCAGCACAATGGGAGTCTGGGACTTCAAGGAACAGCAGAGTTGCTCCGTCTCTCTAAGGCACTGGCTGATGTGGTCATTCCCCAGGTGTGTCTCACATAAGGGATGGAGCCTGGGGCTAGGGGCACTGCAGAAGGAAGGAGAGAAAAGGCAGGAAGGAGGGGTGGTGTGGGAACCAGGGGAAGGAAACTTAGAGAAGGAATTAGTTGTTACAATTAGAGCTACAATCCTGGCTCTGAGGAAGCCCAAGAGGCTAACTGAGGAAAAACCTGGAGAGGGGGAATGTGGTGATGTTGGAAGAAGCCCTAGACCTGAGGTGAAGATAAGCATGATCTTGGACCTGGGAGTATAAGGCAAGAGGAAAACAAGATTCATTGAGGTGCTTATTCCTGGCCTGTGGCCCCTAGGAGTACGGGATCAGTCGGGAGGAGAAACTGGAAATTGCTGTGGGCTTCTGTCTTCCACTGTTGCGGAAGATACTACTTGACCTGCAGAGAACCCACGAGGATGAGTCTGTCAACAAGCTGCACCCCCTGTGAGGGAGGGCTGGGTGGGGTGCTGGATGGAGGGAGGGGCATGTCAGGGAGCTCTTGGGGGAACCCAGGCTGGGACAGCTTGGGGAACCAAGAACGGGAGGGGTCCTGGGGTGGAAAAGAGAGAGAAGTCTTTGAGGCGGGAGGAGGGAGTTTGTGGAGGGCTGAGAAGAGGACTGGCTGACAGTGTGAGTGACTTAGCTGCTGTCTCAGGTACTCCCGAGGAGTGCTCTCCCCAGGCCGCCATGTTCGAACACGTCTCTACTTCACCAGTGAAAGCCACGTCCACTCCCTACTCAGTGTCTTCCGTTATGGGGGACTTCTTGATGTAAGGATCCTTTTTCCTTCAGCCTATGAACATCTTTTCCCAGCGTTCTTTTACTCTCCTCCTCATGCTTCTTTTTTACTGCAAGCTTCCTCTGTTCTCCTCGTCTCCCCGCCCATTCCCTGACTCCCTCGTCCTTGGGCATTAGCTTACCTCTTCTTGTGTTCGGTAGGAGACCAAGGATGCACAATGGCAGCGAGCTTTGGCTTATCTTAGTGCCATCTCAGAGCTCAACTACATGACCCAGATTGTCATCATGCTTTATGAAGACAACACACGGGTGAGGAGCTAACAGGGCGGGGTGAGGAGAGGCCCCCTTCTTTCTTCTCCATCCCCTTTTAGGGAAAAACTTTTTTATGCTTAGATTCTGTAGAATCCAGTTAGGTGTGGTACCTAGGTGCAGCATGATAGAGAACATCCAGGAGGTTCCTCCTGGAACAGAAAACATGTTTTGGGTTGGTGTTGAGCCAGAGAGATACCACAGAACATAGCTCTGGCATTAGGGAGGGTATGGAATTTGAACAATGTTACAATGAGTCTTTTTCTCTCAAACATTGTTACACATACACCTTCTTCATCTGGCTCCACAAAGATATCTTTAAATGTGCTGCTGTATGCACTGTAGCAAAGCTGAATTCCTGTGGGAGATGGATAGGGAGGGGGACAGTTGTAGAACTGGAAGTTGGCAAGTCCTGTGGAGGTTGAGAGTATGAGCATCCCGTAACACTAGACTGTAGTTAAAGGGAGCTATTACTGTAGAGGGGTGTAAGACACTGAAACCTCAGCCCTGGGAGGATGTGTCCTCTTGAGTTCCTCTCTGTTGTCCCTGCCTGGTCTTCCACCACCATGTCCAGCTTCTCCAACTGCCCTTTCATCTGGTGATGCCCTAAAGGATCCCTTATCAGAGGAGCGGTTCCATGTGGAGCTGCACTTCAGCCCTGGAGTGAAAGGTGTCGAGGAAGAAGGCAGTGCCCCAACTGGCTGTGGATTCCGTCCAGCCTCTTCTGAGGTGGGTCAGAGTGCTGGGATTTGGGACTGGAGGATTTAGGAACCAAGTGATGGGAAACTCGGAAACAGTACAGGGAGGTTAAAAGGGTTGGGGAGAATTGGATTAGGAGGCTGGAGACCATTAACACCTCTCCTGTCTATGCCTGTTGTTGGGTAGAATGAGGAGATGAAAACAGACCAAGGCAGCATGGAGGACCTGTGCCCGGGGAAGGCATCAGATGAGCCAGACCGAGCATTGCAGACCTCACCCCAGCCCTCTGAGGGCCCTGGCCTCCCAAAGAGATCACCCCTCATTCGTAACCGCAAAGCCGGCTCCATGGAGGTAATGGGAGGGGCTTGGGAGAAAGAAGTGGTGGAAGTGCTCATAGGACAATATCCATGAATCTCTGAATCCCCTCAGTGGAATTCTTAGGACCTTAAACAGAGTCTTCCTGCCCCTGATGGATATGTTTCACTTAATCTCTCTTTCACAGCTGGTCTCCCAGGAAAGCTCCTTTAAGCTGGTTGCTACTTCTGAGGTTAAAGAGATGCCAGTGAGGGGTACCTGAGAGATAAGGACTTTTAGAGATGAGATTGAGGAGGAGGCCTCTGGATGAATTTGAGAAGGCAGTTCTTTAAAAGGAAATATAGTAGAAAAGCGTGTACTCTGGGCTAAAATCCCAGTCTGATAACCAGACGCTGTGTGATCTTGGAGAGGTACCTTCTCCAAGCCTAAATTTTTTTGATCTGTAAAATATAAGTAATACTCACCATATAGATGCTTAGTAAACAGTAACAATGATAACAATACAGTTGATATTGAAGGCCAGGCCCCCTCCATCTCTTTATTGTCTTGGGTAAATATTAAAGCTCAGATTGTAGTAAATATCACTTTGCTAAAAATGGCACTTTAATTTAACCCCTTTAGGGTTATCTATACTCTCATCCCAGAAAGGGAATCAAGTCTCGAGGTCTATCTATCTCCCCTTTGTTCTGATGAGGTTTATCAGTCTGGGCCTGGTTCTATTTCTCTAGCCTAGAGGAAAGGACTGTTGTAAATCTCACATTGTGTCCTGGAGTAAAAACCAAAGTTTTGGTCTTTTCCTGGAGAGATCCTTTCCCTCTTTGGCCCAATGACACTCTTTTTGACCCCATGATTTATCCCTGTCTCAGGGACCATGACTGTCTATTTTGGGTCCTGCTTTGACAGATGAATCTGTTCACTTGGCTTGGTGCCTGCTCTCTGTCTTAAAGGAATTGGTCTTTCCATTTTGAAATATCTCAGAAGAATCTATAACTAGCTTACATAGGTTCAGACAAAGGTTTATGGTTCAGATTTTGGAGAATGCTGAGAAGACAAACTGCAGTCTCTCTTCTAGGCTCATCCTTTTCTGCCTGATTATTTTAAGATGGACTTGAGGTCATGAATACTCAGAGTTTCCTTAGGTGGGGTATGCGTCATATTTTCTTTGAGGTGTAAGTTAACTTAGTATCCATAGTACATTAGTACACTGCAGACTCATGTGAATAGATCAAATGGACAGAATGACATATGATCTTCCACTAATAAACTGCTCCTCCACATCCAGTGTCTTCCCCATTCACATCGTCTGCCAGTCTCTGGCACTATTATGTTGGACCCCCTTTTTTCTTCTGATTTAAAGCAGTCAAGAGACAGGCAAAGCAGAGCTCTCAGTGTATCATCTCTCAGACTTGATGAAATTGACTTCTTTCAGGCCTATAGGAAGCTTTCTGTTGTAATCAGATTCCTTCCTCTCAGTTACTAGTGCTGCTTATACCATGGCTACCCAGGATGATGGTTGCCCAAGATATGCTCCTCAGCTTTGCAAGAAAATCTTCTCTCTGCTCTTTGGTCATACAACCTTTTAGTATTAATATTTCCTCTCCGTGTTCTATAAGTACAGGCATTGGTAGTCTTATTCTTATCAACTACGACCCTTCTTTCCATCCCTTCTTCTCCTCCTGTCATCTTATATTTTTGGACTGGTTTAGAATACAAAATCTGTGACCTTCAGAGCAGCTGTGCCCTAGGCAATCATCCTTTCCAGCCTTACAACTGCCTCTGCCCAATGGGCCCAGGGCTTTGGGGAGCCTGGGGGTGTAAGGAGCCGTGACCGGCTTTCCACCCGGTCTGATTGCAGGTCATGAACATGCAGTGCACGGGGAACCTGGACCTGATCCCCTTGCGGGGACGGCGCCGCCGGAGGTCAGGGGACCTCCCCCGGCCTTCCCCAGCCATCGGCCTACAGCCCCGGGCTGTGTCCACCACTCACCTGGCATCCTGCACACAGGTGTCCCTCCATACTTCATCTTCCCTTATTGCTTCTATCTTTGCCTTTTGGGACTTAGGGACTCAGAACACTGTTGAGGTGTGTGTGTGTGTGTGTGTGTGTGTGTGTGTGTGTGTGTGTGTGTGGGTTATGTGATTGAGCCCTTGTGGGCTTTTCAGAAATCCATTTCATGTCTCCAGGAGTGGAGGGAGGGCTTTCAGTTCAGATAAGAAACTGAGTATGGCTGCCGTAGCCACAGCTGTCCCATGGAAAGAAGAGAGCGTAGCCAGACTTCTTATAGTGGCTGAGCTATTGTGATTTGCTTTCTGAGTTCTATGGAGGGATATAAAAGATTAAGGTACCCTGCCCTGCTAAGCACTGAGAATGGTTGAATAATGATTTCTCAGATTTGGGATTAGAGGGCTGTAGGCACAGGCATCTTGGAAATAGAAGTGCTTTCTAGTATAGAAGGATTCCCTGGACAGTTTCCTCTGTAAAGTATACTCTTAGACTTTGCATTCCTCTTCCTCATAAAAATCCTTAAACTTCCTGACATTGCTTGGTTTTGTAGGGGCAAGAATTCAGGACCTGGGTTTTAGACTTCTCAGTTGAGGTGGCAAAACGGTAATTAACATAGAGTCCTTTTTCTCCAGGTGCTTTCTGAGACTTCATCCTCGAGGCCTGGTGGCTACCGACTCTTTTCATCTTCACGGCCACCAACGGAGATGAAGCAGAGCGGCCTAGGTATGGTTTTCCAGCATCTCTCATCTGTTGTTGGGAAGGGGTGTCTGTCTGTTCTTTAGAGTTTTATTGTGGGGAACCTTAGTCATGGGAGTTGGGGTCATCTAGTCAGTGGAATTGTTGGGTGGGGCTAGGGAGGATGAATTGGGAGAAGCCACATGTAGGTGTGAACTTTGATCCCAGATGATTGTTTGCATTCCAGGAAGGTGTCTGTCTTTTGGTTTACTACACAACGCCCATTTCTCTGGCTGAAGGGCATTTTTCTGGCTTCCCCTCTTATTCCTTATCTGTCCCTTCAGTCTAGCCCAGACATTTAGGGTCCATGGAGACTCTGACTCTTCAGAGTTATCAGAGACAAAGCTATAAATAGAGGCACTTGTGAGACGCTCCCTTCCCTCAATAACGGTCATATTCCTCATTTGGAGAACTTGTGCCATGTCTTCCTTTGAGACCTGTGTTTATTACATCCTTGCTCTGGCCCCTCCTACCTCCGTGCCCTCCCCTTCATCCTCTTTTAATCCTGTAATTCTTCTTCCTTCCTTCCTGAAAATTGAGGGACAAATCTGAGACTGGTGTAGTGGCAGAGGCTTCTCTCAGGACTTTGAGGGAATGTCTCTTGATTTTTTTGATTCCTGGAGAGGGGTGGAGAACATCATTCAACCTTTCCTAAGAACACAGACTGCAGGAAGGACCAAGCCTCAGAGGGTATTGTATTCTTTGGGAGTGGGGAGGGGTCCTTGGGAGGGGCTATCTTTGAACACAGCACCTGTGAGCTATTAACCAGAACTGGCAGGTAGAGACAGTGGTGTGGGGTCTAGACTGGGTCCCCTGGCTCTTTCTATCTTGTCCTATTATTCTCTCCATTTAGCTCCTTTCATTTTTCTGTTGAAAGAGAAAGGTCTCCTTGGCACCCAATTTCTTGGCCCCAAAACGGTCAGCATTTGGACCAGAAATGGGAAGAAAGGTTTTTGGTAATTTTCCAGGCTAATTTTATGGGATTAGATTGCCTTCTAGATCCCTAAAATGAGGTAGATGGTTTGGTGCATGAAAAATAAATGACAAATGTCTGGATCTGTGAATATAGACTTCTTTTCCCAGAACCCAGAAGAGAATAGGTTTCAGGTAGGTGGGAAAGAGGATAGGTGTGTCTGGCCCAGTTAAAGGGGAGTGCTGTCAAGAACAAGGCAGAGGCATGAGTCTGGTTGACAGATGGTGGTGGTAAGGTAAAGACTACCCCCTGAGATGATCCAAGACTGGACACGGCAGGATTGGTGGGACTATGCCAGAAAATTATTTCGTGGAGGAAGTAAATGTAGAACAAAGCTTGGGGGTGGGCTGGGATACAGCCAGCTAGTTCCAGCTTCTCTGAAAAAAGCAGACATATTTAGCAACCCTTATTTCTCTCTGGAACTCTATTCTTGAGCTTGTTTGAACATGAAAGGTAGGAGAAATTGCTGCACAGAGGAGTGGTCCTTAATTCCAGGGTGGAAATTATCAGCCATCTGAACTTCTTGATTTATGTGGTGACCCTGAAATGCTGGGACCCCTGAAACCATATCCCCTCTTTGTGGGCTCAAAGGAAACTGACGGCTCCACTCTGTCCATTTCCCCTATGAATGTTAAGTTCCCAAGTCAAACCCAGGGTCTTGGCTAAGATGGATTTGGAAGTAGAGGAGAAAATCCCACAAACTGGAGTGTTAATCTTGTTTCCTCCTGCCCATTCTCTCCTGTGGGCTATAGTAGGAGACGGGACCATGGGAGTCCCAACCCTACTGTCGATCAGATACTTGGGACAGTGACTAGCTTGATTTATTTGCTTCAGGGATTTTTCAAGTTTTATTTACTCCACTTACTGACAAGAGTTCTCTTTGCTTTCTTTGAGCTTATGTGTGTGCGCATCTGGCTTTGAGCACAGGACTTACAAGACAATAAACTTTCGAGAGTAGAAAAAACATCTTTTTCGCTGTTTTCTGCTCACAAGGTTCTCCTGAGTAGGGTGTTCAGCGGTTAGTAGGCATGTTCTGCGTATAATCACCTGACCCTTCACATGCCTTTCAATTTGTGTCCATTTTCACTTCAGAAACAATGCTCTGTTTCTTCTTGATGAAAAAAATTACTATTTCTTTTCTAACTGAACACAGTTGATCCTGAGTCAGGACACCTGGATTCTAGTCCAGCTTAGCTCCTAACAAACTGTATGACCTTGAACAAATGAGATCCCTTTTGAATGTCAGTTTCTTCATCTCTAAAATAAGAAGGCTGAACTGGGTGATCTTTGAATCCATTCCAGCTTCAAAAACTCAGTGAGTCTCATACTTTCTTGGGAAAGGTAAAAAGGCCTAAGGGAAAATAGAAGGCAGGGAACGTTGGATGAAAAACTTAGGAGGAATTGGAACTTATGAGAACTTTGAATTTGAGTTGAGTACTCTAAACTTAGTCTCTAGTTTCAGTCAAAGTTTCTTTCCTTTTAAACAAATAAGGGACTCGATTTCTGGGTTCTTCAAACCCTATATCCAGCATAAGGAGCACTGAATTAAATCTAGGGAGATCTAGAGGAATCTACCTATTCTTTGAGCATTCCTGAGAGCCACCTAGAGAGCATAGTTTATCCCTTTCAGTAGCTTTGAGTCCCCTAATATGACTAACCCTGTATTTGTAGTGGCCTCTTGTATCTGCCAAGTAGACTTTCAGGAGCATCCTCACTTTGCTTGCCCAGTGTGGCTGTGGACAGTAGTGAAAGCTGTTTGTGGTTATGTGAAGTGGCCACGTGGTGGTGGCTCTGAATGGTTATGTGTGTGTGTCCTGATGTTGTCATGTGAAATCGTGTGTACTTCTGTGTGGTAATTGCAGCTTTGCGTGGCTACTAATGCACTCCCGGCCTTGCAGGCTCACAGTGCACGGGGCTGTTCAGCACCACAGTGCTGGGCGGCTCCTCCAGCGCCCCGAATCTTCAGGACTACGCCCGCAGCCAAGGCAAAAAGCTACCACCTGCCAGTCTGAAGCACCGAGATGGTATGTGGGTGGGTTTTGGGGGGCAACTCTTTTCTTCATTTGTCCGCCAGCAAGGACACAGCTCAAGAACAATTCACGCTTAAGATGGCGCTTGACACTAGCCTTATGACAAGTTTTCTGCATCAGTTATAGAGGGGAGAAGCAACCAAGACCCCATCCACCCCTCCATTTGCATTCCCTCTCGCCATACAAATACTACTTATTTATGCTTATCCCTTCATAATCAGCCACATACAGCCCTGCTACATCAATTTACTCCACCTTTGTATTCTTTCCTGGATTCTGGCCTGTAGTGGTAGGGACCAAGGAGGATGATCCACGGTCAGGAAGAATGCAGTGGAGCCTCAATTAAAATCTAGGAAATCAGGGATGGGGAAGTTGTTCAGCCAAGGCAGGAAAAATGATATGGAAAGAGATTGGGGGAAGTGATGAAAGTTTCTACAAAGATTTTATTTCTTTGTAAATGACCAGAAAGTGGATGTGGTGGTGAGATTAGGGTTGTTTGTGGGACCGTATTATGGTAGAGATGACACATGGATTCCTGAGAGGAGATTATCCAAAGGAAAAGATTGAAATGTGGTAGTAAGGAATCTAAGGGGCGGGGGTGGGAGCAGGTCGTATACTAACTGTAAAGAACAGAGTATATTGTGAGCAAATTCCAGAGCAGAGGGTGGGGACAGCAGTGGGTATAATCCCCGTGATGTCTTTTCTCCCCAGAGCTCTTGTTTGTCCCGGCCGTAAAACGATTTTCTGTGTCGTTTGCAAAGCATCCGACTAACGGTACGTTTGCTTCTGACTCAACGTCATTCCTCCTCACCATGTCACCTCCAGACACTTAACCTCTGAGTTCTGACGCTGACTTTCCCTCTCCCTCCACTGTGTTGACACCCTGCTGTCTCTGAACCACTCACTAATTGTTGCTCTTGGGATATATCACTTGTTGTGACAGACCTTAGCCTTGGCTGCAGCCTGGCTGCCCGATTCCTGGGGCAACTCAAGGTCTTATTTCCATGGTCACCATCATCACCATTGTGTCACTTTTTTCAGCATCATCACCGAAACGTGAATTAAACCTCTTCCTTTCCCATCACATGACTGCCAGGCTTTGTACAAACATGATAATGGTTCCCCTTCTTAGAAGGAGCGTAGTATTACCTATATCATCCCCATTTCTTCTATTTGTTTCCCCAACTCCTCAGCTTATGTAATTTTGATCTTCCTGTTTTTTCACCAGCTCTTTTGTTGGAGTGGATGACTAGTTTGCTTCCCTTTTGGAGCAGTGCTGCAGTTCCCAGTTCCCAAGCCTACCCGTAAAGGCATTAGTCTTGAGTATATTGTTTTCCATCTCCATATTCCTATCTCCTACCATTGTGTGTATTTTGTGTGGCTCTTGTGCTCCTGACATCTGCTTTACGTCACTACTAACCTAGGGTCTGAGCCTAGAAAACAGGAGTCCAGATTGATTTGGGATACAAGAAAGAACAAAAGGAGTAGGAGGTGTTAGGTAAAGGAAAAAGAATTGTGTCTTGAGGGTTTCCATGTGGTTTCCATGCAGCACCAGCCTACTTATGGCACTGCAGTCTCCGAGAAGGGGAAGTGAAGAGTTGAGATGTCTACTGGAGATTCCGGGGGAGCTTAGGAATAAATAATATTTCAAGAATACTGAAGAACAGGGTCTGCCCACACTAAGGTGGGAGAGTTTAGAGATTTGCGTAAACCCAAAACTGAAGGGCTGTGGTCTCTTTGTAGGGTATGGCAGAGGAACCCAGGACTTACTCCTTGTTTTATCCTTTATATCCTTAGTTTCTCTCTGCATTGTATCTTGTCTTCAAGGTAAATCCAGTTTTGTTAGATACGATTTTCTTCTGTTCAAGAGCTAAGACTCTGAGGGAGGTAAAATTAGCTTGGCTTCCTGGCTGAAAAAACTCTAGGTGCTGATCACCTGCTCCTTAGACAGTGGCAGGTGCTAGATTTTAGCCCAGTAAGGCCATACATCTCCACTAGGCACTGGTGAAATCTCCCTATGTTGACTAGCTTATACTTGCTCAGTTTATACCCCTACCCTCCACCTGCACTCCTGTTTGTGCCTGTGACAGGAGCTTCCCATTCAGAGTGGCGTGACTGTGCCTGCACAGTTAGCTTCAAGCTCTTCTGGGCTTCGTGCCACAGTCATCTCCAGAGTAGACCCTCAGGCACCAACCCCAACCCTACAGCCTGGGATTTGGACTTAGGAGACTTGTTACTTAGGGAACAGAAGATGGTACTAGGAACTTGGGCCCCTGACATCAGAGCTAAATCACAACTCTCCTAACTCTTAGGCTCTGTGAGAAAAGATCCAAATTCCTAAAACAGATCCTCAAACCTATATATCTCTAGTTCCCTGAAGGCTTGGTTAGCAGCCTCACCAGTAAAGAAGAATTAATTCTACCAAAAGGGGGAGAGGAAGAAAGACCTGGACAATTATAGTGCAAGAGAGTAAATTCAAGATCTCCTCCAGCACCCTGCACACAACCTCAGGGCTCTGCTGGCCTTTGTTCTTCTTGTACTTGAGCTTGGAGGCTAAAGTGCCTGAGAAGCAGGAATCTAGGAGAAAAAGATTTGGAGCTATTATGTCTCTTGCTGAAGATTATCTAGATTTAATTTGGCCCTCAGGACAATATGAGGGCTCTACCCCATGGCCAAACGTTACTGGACTGACCCAGCAATTACAGAGTGGATGCTCTGTCTGCAGTTGCTTGCAGCAGATTAGTCACAACAATGTGCCAGCCTACTATCCATCACCACCATCTCTTTGCCATGATGTGTGGCTTTGAAATAGCAGCTGGAAGAACTGGACCTGGCTTTGGAAAGGAGGCAAGGCAGTGCTACTTCCTTGCTTTGATGGGAGAATACCCCTCAGCCCATCTCTCCCTCTATTCCTGATAAGCTTCTGTCACATCCTGTGACTACATCAAGTATATAAGTATGGCCCATTAGTAAACTGCATGCTGAACTTACCAAGGTGAACTAATATAGTGGGAAAGAGACTGTGTCTCTCCCTCATCCAGAATGTCAGAGTGTACCCACCAGATCTGCCAAGCTCATTCTCTTCTAGGGACCCACACAACTGTATGACCATTGGTACAGAAATCTCTCTTGACATCCAGACTAAGGTCTCTGGAAACCATAGTCTCATGGGATCACCCTGTGGAGCCCATTCTGGTCTGGGAGTTCTGAGCAGTCATCCTCAGCTACCTAGATCCTACTTTCTCTGTACCATATTCCTGTTATCAGTTAAGACCCCGTACCTCTTCCCCAAGATCTTTTTCCTACTGTTCCTCTTAAACCCCCTTCCACATGCCTTTCACTGCCTTCAACCGTTTGCAGCTGAATCGCATATATCCACAAAGTTTGCCAACCAGCTAAGATAGTAAGTAGTTTCGGCATTAAAGCTTTTCCACTCGTCTAGCTGAACAAAGTGCAGTTAAACTCACCAGCAGTGGGAAGAAAATATAAAATTATCTCTTTTGGCTTCTATAATTGATACAGTGTCCCTTAAGAATTACGCAAATGTTTTTTTAAAAGTCTATGTATTTGAACAAGAATGAAGGATAATTAATCAATATTGGCATTTTCACACATTGATTCTGTTTTTTACATGCTGTTTTAAAGGACACCTGGTTTCCTGCTAATCTACGTCAGTTACCTAACACAAGCCTTGTCTGTGGCTATCTTAGAGTCTGGTCCAGGGAGCCCAGCCTGAGTCCTCAGGAGCTTTTTTAGCTTCAAATTTTATCTTGATAACGTATACCACTCTTGACCCTCTTCTCTGAGTGACTTCAAATCTTTTCATCTCTATCCCAACCTCATAAATACATTCATTTGAGAAACAAGCCCTAACTAGGGTTTGCCCAAGAATGATTGGGGACACTGGAGTTCCTAGCTACAGAACTGCCAGCTCACCCCATCCAGAACGATGTGACTGCTGTCTGCAAGCACTGACTGAATTGTGCACAACAAGAAAGGAGAGGGCCTGCTGTATGATGAGGTCTCACGTGCCCCTTCTTCTAGACTCACTTCTTTTAGACTTCTTTTAGCATGATGCCAATACTCTTCTCCCCTGCAAGACATGTCCTGTGGCTCTGACCATCTCTGCTTCTCTCTTACCTCACCTTGGAGCTGAGTGGCCCCACCTCCCAGGAATGCTTATGTCATCCAGTACCCCCCTTATTGTCTCTCCCTCTTCTCTTTCTTTATCTTTGTGCTTCCTGCCGTGGTTCCCCCAACCCCTCCAAGAGCTGCTGGATGACCAGCACCCTGTGGTCCGGTTGCTGCGCAGTTTTTCCTCTGACTGCACAGGGGGCTGGCCAGTCTCCTTGGATGCCACGCTGGCGCATCACCTGCACCAGTGCTCCTACCACCTGCGCCTCTTCCGGAACTGGCTGCGCTCAGGCCAGGATGATCCTGAGTGCCTCTACGGTACCCCCTGCCACCAAGCTGGCTGCTGCCACTACCCTGGCTGGGACTGACTGCTTTGCTTCTTGCACTTTTGGCAGGAGAGCCCACCTATTCCTTTCTCCTATTTACTCTAAGGTTATGTGACTTGCATTTAGTTGCTTGGATGGGATTGGGGCCAGACTGCCTGGTAGCTGTAGCGTTGGCTGCTCCTCCCCTTCCTGTTCTCCTTCCTCACTGCCTCCTAATGTTACCTATTCCCAGTGCTATTTGGTACAGGAGTAGTCTCTTGCCCTGGAATCTATTCTTATCTCTATGACCCTCTACTACCACCATCTTCAAATCCAAATGTTTTTCTAGCAGTTCTGAGAAGCTGGAGACTGTACCTCTCCTGCCCTCCTGCCACTAGAGTACAGGGGGAAATTGAGGCACAGAGGTCTCAATTGAATCCTTGAAGAAAACAAGGGCCAAAGGTTAGAAGATGGTCAGGTATAATCCTTTTGAGTTATATAGGTTTTAATCATTGTCAGACAGGAAGCTGTGTCTTGAATAGATATTGCTGTCCTGCCTACCTTTAATCCATTTAAGGAAATATAAAGGAAGCATAGGAAATATTGGGGACTAAAAAAGTGGTTGAGATGTATGCTTCTTGATCCTCTAATGGGGGCATTTTTTTTTTTCATCAACAGGCCCTGGGATTAGAGTTACACATTTAGGTTTACCCTTCACCCTACAATGTAGATCTACATTGGAATTGTTGGGTTCAGAGCAGAGAATCGGTATTTATTCTTTTTTCTAGGGGGTTTGCCTCATTTTCCTGAAGGAATAGAGAAATACTAGCAAGTCTGGGGTCTTCAGTGAGAGCAGAGGAAAGAAGCTTTGAAGTGATGAAAATAACCAAGAAAGAACTTCCATCCCCCAACCTGTTCATACATGCGGTTTTCCTGAGCTGAGCTTCATGTGTATTGCATGCCCTCCTGCTTCCAGTATTCTAGCCTTTCTACCCATATCCTAAATCTGCATGAACCCCTCCTCAGATCCCAAGCCCTCCTCCGTAATCTGGTTCTCTTGTACATGATCCCTGAAATCTGCTGTTTTTTCCCAGCTCCATGACCTCCCTACCTCTCATTTAGACCTGCAATTTCACCCCTTACCTCTGGACCTTTGTTTTATTTCCCCCAGAAAGTACAAGAGGAGTGTAGGTGCTTACCTCATTGGGATTCTGTTGATTTTTCCATGGAATATTGCAGGCTTTCCATAGGTAGGATAAGAGGTGATTTGATTCACCCAGAGGCCTTAGCAGGAAGACTTTTTAGAAAATCTGGAGGTGACAGAAATAGACTCCTGTAGGGGCTCTAAAGAGTTCCCTCTCCTGAGAATCTTGGATACCCCACACTCCAAAAGCCAAAAGCCACAGACACTCCTGATGGTTCTCAGGGACCCTCCATGCTTCCTTGGCCAGTTGGGGTATATCCAGCAGGAATAACATTGACTTTGCCCATCTCTTTTCTAACAGGATTTGAAGGGTGCTCCATGGTGCCTACCATTTACCCCCTGGAAACACTGCATAATGCCCTTTCGCTGCGTCAAGTGAGTGAATTCTTGAGTAGAGTCTGCCAGCGCCACACTGATGCCCAAGCACAGGCATCTGCAGGTATGGAGAATACTCTTATCTTGTACCACTATCTCTGCCCCCACTCCCATGCTTCCTAGAACATGAGTAATAAATTAAAAAGATAGGCACTCTGAAAAAGTAGACTTGAAAAAATGTTTAATTGCATAGGTTAACTCAAAAGCATAGAACTATCACTCCTTCCAAAGTTAACTTATAAATTTAATGTGATCTCAGTAAAAATAGTACTGTTTTTCTAAAGTCAGACAAATTGATTTTGAAGTTGTCATTAAAAAAAAACACAAAAAAAACCAAGCAAGAATAGCCAAGGAAATCTTGAAAAGAAGAGCAATGAAGTCATGCTGGCCCTACCAGATTTTAAAACATTTTATAAAACTTCTATAATAAAAACAGTGTAGTATTGGTACATGAATAAACAGAGACCAAGCAAACAAAGTAGAAAATCCAGAAATAGTTGAAGTTAGCATTTCAAAATACTAGGGGAAAGACAACCTTTAAGAAATGGAGTTGGAAAGTTAGTAGAAGGAAAGAAATCATAAAGATCAGAGCAGAAATAAATGAAACAGAAACAAAGAAAACAATAGCAAAGATCAAGAAAACTAAAAGCTGGTTCTTTGAGAAGATAAACAAAACTGATAAACCTTTAGCCAGACTCATCAAGGAAAAGAGGGAGAGGACTCAAATCAATAAAATTAGAAATGAAAAAGGAGAAGTTACGACAGATACTGCAGAAATACAAAGCATCCTAAGAGACTACTATAAGCAACTCTATGCCAATAAAATGGACAACCTGGAAGAAATGGACAAATTCTTAGAAAGGTATAACCTTCCAAGACTAAACCAGGAAGAAATAGAAAATATGAACAGACCAATCACAAGTAATGAAATTGAAACTGTGATTAAAAATCTTCCAACAAACAAAAGTCCAGGACCAGATGGCTTCACAGGTGAATTCTATCAAACATTTAGAGAAGAGCTAACACCCATCCTTCTCAAAATCTTCCAAAAAAACTGCAGAGGAAGGAACACTCCCAAACTCATTCTATGAGGCCACCATTACCCTGATACCAAAACCAGACAAAGATACTACACAAAAAGAAAATTACAGACCAATATCACTGATGAATATAAATGCAAAACTCCTCAACAAAATACTAGCAAACAGAATCCAACAACACATTAAAAGGATCATACACCATGATCAAGTGGGATTTATCCCAGGGGTGCAAGGATTCTTCAATATATGCAAATCAATCAATGTGATACTCCATGTCAACAAATGGAAGAAGAAAAAAACCATATGATCATCTCAAAAAAAGAAAAAAAAATGGGAGTTGGGGGACTTCCCTGGTGGCACAGTGGTTAAGAATCCACCTGCCAATGCAGGGGACACGGATTCGATCCCTGGTCCGGGAAGATCCCACATGCCACGGAGCAACTAAGCCCGTGCACCACAACTACTAAGCCTGTGCTCTACAGCCTGTGAGCCACAACTACTGAGCCTGCGTGCCACAACTACTGAGCCCACATGCTACAACTACTGAGCCCGCATGCTGCAACTACTGAGCCCGTGTGCTGCAACTACTGAAGCCCACACGCTTAGAGCCCTGTGCTCCACAATAAGAGAAGCCACCGCGATGAGAAAAGCCTGCACACTGCAACGAAGAGTAGCCCCTGCTCACTGCAACTAGAGAAAACCTGGGCACAGCAAGGAAGACCCAAATGCAGCCAAAAATAAATAAATTTATTTTTTTAAATATATATATATTAAAAGGAACCAAACAGAAAATCTGGGGCTGAAAAGCATAATAACAGAAATGAAAAATTTACTGGAGGACTTCTTAGAAGGTTTGAGCAGGCAGAATTAAAAATCAGCAAACTTAAAGATAGGTCAAGGCGGGCGCCGCCGTCAGTCATGGCCTGACGCTGGCACGCTGTGCATGTCCCACCCCTTGCCGCCACTAGTAGCCCGCCGGCCGGCGGCCTCGCTCGGCCCTCAGCTCAGTGGCGGCGTTGGAAGGCGGCCCGGGCCCTCGCAGGCCCATGGCAGCGGCCGTGGTGTTGCCGGGCGTGGGCGGGCCTCCCGCGGGCGGCGGCGCTGGGGGCGGGCGGGTCCCCACCGGGTGGCTGGGCAGTGGCGCGCCTCGAGAGCTGCAAGTTCGAGTACCTGATGAAGAAGCGCTCGGTGACCATCGGGTGAAACTTGTCGCAGGGCTCGGTGGACGTGAGCATGGGCCACTTGAGCTTCATCTTGCGGCGCCACCTCGAGATCTTAACGCCCCCAGGCGGCGGCGGCGGCGGCCATCCTGGGGCGGCCCTGGAGCCGTCGGCGCAGCCCGGGCCCGATGCGGGTGGCAACTTCTACCTGCGCTGCCTCGGCAAGAATGGCATGTGCGTGGACGGCGTGTTCCAAAGGCACGGGGTGCCGCCGCTGCAGCTGCTGCGCATGTGCATATTCAGGTTCCCGAGCACAAACGTCAAGATCACTCACCTTCACTGCCCTGTCCAGCAAGAAGAGGGAGAAATAGGAAGCGCCCGAGTCCCTGGTGAAGCCTGTGCAGGCTCACATCTCCCCACTGACCATCAACATTCCAGACACCATGGCCCACCTCATCAGCCCCCTCCCCTCCCCCACAGGAACCATCAGTGCTGTGAACTCCTGTCCATCCAGCCCCCTGGGGAGCAGGGTCTTCAGGGTACAAAATGGGCCGTGTGGTACCATCTGACTTCAATTTAATGGCCGACAACTCACAGCCAGAAAATAAGAAGGAAGCTTCAGGTGGAGACAGCCCAAAGGATTATTCAAAGCCACCTTATTCCTATGCACAATTAATTGTACAAGCAATTACGATGGCTCCTGATAAACAACTCACCCTAAATGGAATTTATTCGTACATCACGAAAAACTATCCCTACTACAGGACTGCAGACAAGGGCTGGCAGCTATATGTAGGCTGACATACGTATCTTTTTGAAGTTTGCACAGAGATGGTTTTCAAACTTTTCCTGAGGAACCCTTTCTTCAAAAGATACCTCCTCCAGTTGGCCAGTATACAAAACAGATGAACACAGTGCTGCCCTGTTTCAGTGGTCCACCTGTACTTCCAGCCTATTCCTAGGCTGTCTGTGAATCCAGGCCTCCTCAGAGGACACTTTGAAATCGGTGCATAGTATTTCCATTGTTTAGCTTTGAATTTGTTTAATTTTTAAACCTCTACATTGTGTATGTTTTTCCTCTGCATGTCTGTTTTATGTGTGGCCATTTACTAGGTGTTTAGCAGGATCTCACTAATTAAGACAGTATGGGAAAGGGTAAGTTTGAAGTATGGAATGGTAAAAGCATAACAAAAGGGAGAAGAAATATACATTTACAAATTTTGAATTTATTAAGTAACAAGGAATGGCTACAGAATTCCTTTGAGGCTTAATGAGTAAATGATCCTTTGAAAAATGCATCTGTTGAACCATAACCATAATCAAGTGATGTGGGTGGGGTGGGGGTGGGGGTAAGCCATTCTGTTTAATGGAGGGTAAAAACTTTTTTCTTCTACCTGCAGATGTATAAACATGTTATAATAAAAATAGTGTTCCAGCCAAAAGAAAAGGTAGGTCAGTTGAAGTTATCCAGTCTGAGGAGAAGAAATAAAAAAGAATGAAGAAAAGTGAACAGAGCCAAAGATACTGTGGGACACCATAAAACATACCACTGTATGTATAATGGAAATCCCAGAAGGAGAAGAGAGAGAGAAAGAGGCAGAAAAACATTTTGAAGAAAAAATAGCTGAAAACTTCTCAAATTTGATAAAGACATAAGTCTGTGTGTCCAAATAGTTCAAACTTCAAGAAGGATAAATGCAAAGAGATCTACATTGAGACACATTGTAATCAAATTGTCAAAAGACAAAGAGAAAATGTTGAAAGTGGCAAGAGAAAAGCAGCTTGTCACATACAAGGGATATTTAATAGATTAACAAGGCACTCATCAGAAACCATAGAGGCCAGAAAGTAGTGGGGTGACATATTTAAAGTGCTAAAAGAAAAAAACGTCAACCAAGAATTCTGTATGTATCTGTCGAAACTGTTCAAAAATGAAGGGAAAATTAAGACATCCCCAAATAAACAAAAGCTGAGGGATTTTTTTAAAAAACATCTTTATTGGAGTATAATTGCTTTACAATGGTGTGTTAGTTTCTGCTTTATAACAAAGTGAATCAGTTATACATATATTCCCATATCTCTTCCCTCTTGTGTCTCCCTCCCTCCCACCCTCCCTATCCCACCCCTCTAGGTGGTCATAAAGCACCAAGCTGATCTCCCAGTGCTATGCGGCTGCTTCCCACTAGCTATCTGTTTTACATTTAGTAGTGTATATATGTCCATGCCACTCTCTCACTTTGTCCCAGCTTACCCTTCCCCCTCCCCGTGTCCTCAAGTCCATTCTCTAGTAGGTCTGCGTCTTTATTCCCGTCTTGCCCCTAGGTTCTTCATGACCACTTTTTTTTTTTTTTAGATTCCATATATATGTGTTAGCATACAGTATTTGTTTTTCTCTTTCTGACTTACTTCACTCTGTAGGACAGACTCTAGGTCCATCCACCTCACTACAAATAACTCAATTTCGTTTCTTGTTATGGCTGAGTAATATTCCATTGTATATATGTGCCACATCTTCTATATCCATTCATCCGATGATGGACACTTAGGTTGTTTCCATGTCCTGGCTATTGTACATAGAGCTGCAGTGAACATTGTGGTACATGACTCTTTTTGAATTATGGTTTTCTCAGGGTAGGGTATATGCCCAGTAGTGGGGTTGCTGGGTCGTATGGTAGTTCTATTTTTAGTTTTTTAAGGAACCTCCATACTGTTCTCCATAGTGGCTGTATCAATTTACATTCCCACCAACAGTGCAGGAGGGTTCTCTTTTCTCCACAGCCTCTCCAGCATTTATTGTTTGTAGATTTTTTGATGATGGCCAGTCTGACTGGTGTGAGATGATATCTCATTGTAGTTTTGATTTG